AGAGATGGAATCTCACTATGTTGCCCAGGCTGGTCTCGAACTCCTGGATTCAAGCAATCCTCCCACTTTGGTCTCCTAAAGTGCTGGGATTACGGGCATGAGCCAACATGCCCAGCCTTCAGGTTTTTTAATTGACAAATAATATTCCATAATGTATATATACCACATTTTCTTTATCAGTCATGCACTGATGGACACAAACTTGATTCCATATCTTTGCTATTGTGAATAGTGCTGCAATAAGCATATGGGTGCAACTATCCCTTGATATACTAATTTCCTTTCCTTTGGATAAATACTCAGTAGTGAGATTAGTACATACAGTAATATAGTTTTGTTTTGTTTTGAGGCGGAGTCTTGCTCTGTCACCAGGCTGGGGTGCAATAGCACAATCTCAGTTCACTGCAACCTCTGCCTCCCGGGTTCAAGTCATTCTCCTGCCTCAGTCTCCTGAGTAGCTGGGACTACAGGCATGTGCCACCATGCCCAGCTAATTTTTGTATTTTTAGTAGAGATGGGGTTTCACCATGTTAGCCAAGATAGTCTTGATCTCCTGACCTCATGATCCGTCTGTCTCAGCCTCCTTAAGTGCTGGGATTACAGGTGTGAGCCACCGCACCCAGCCTACTTTTAGTTTTTTTGAGAAATCTGTATACTGTTTTCCATAATGGCTGTACTAATTTACATTCCCACCAACAGTATGTAAGTTTCCTCTTCTCTGCATCCTGACCAATAACTGTTTATTTTTTTTAATCTTTTTCATAGTAGCCATTCCAACTGGGGTGAGACGATATCTCATACTAATTTTGATTTGCATTTTTTTCTAGTTAAACAATTTTACTGCTTGGGTACATAGACAAATTTTTGTGACCAGGACAGAGGCCGTAGATGATTCATATTTCCAATGGGGAGTGGGGACTTGCTTGGTCTTTTAAAATCGAGCCAAATACTGAATCCAGCTCTCTATCAGAACCACACAAAATTTAGCATCCTTATCCTTTCTGTTCCTCTCAAGATGTTTTTCAATGGCAGCTGCTTTCTTAATTAAATGGTAGAGATCTTCAGGGAGACCAGGAGCAAGTCCCTCAGACTTAAGAATTCTTAAGATTTTATTGCCTGTCACAAAACATACTTGTGCAACACCATGTGAATCTCTCAGGATCACACCAATTTGTGGAGGAGTCAGGCCCTTCTTGGCCAGTCTATAAATCTGCTCCTTCCTGTCATCAGATGTAAACTTCAGCCAAGTGGGGACACTGCAGTGATAGGACAAAGCCAAATGGGACAGGCCCTTCTCGGGAGCATGCATGCAACCCATGATGGCAGTGGTCAGGCAGCAAAAGTTAATTTGCATTTCTATGATGGTTAGTGATACTGAACATTTTTTCATACACCTGCTGGCCTTTGTATGTCTTCTTCTGAGAAATGTCTGTTCAGATCCTTTGCCCACTTTTATAAATGGAATTGTTATTGCTGTTGAGTTGTTTGAGTTCTATGTATATTCTGGATATTAATCCCTAGTTGGATGGTTTGCAAATATTTTCTATCATTGAACAAGTAGTCTCTTCATTCTGTTGTTTCCTTTGCTGTGCAGAAACTTTTTAGTTTAATTTAGTCCCATTTGTCTATTTTTGGTTTTGTTGCCTGTGCTTTTGAGATCTTAGTTATAAAGTGTTTACTAGACCAATATCCTAGAGTGCTTCCCATATGTTTTCTTCTAGTAGTTATAAGTTTGGGGTAAATTTAAAACTTAAAAGTATTTTGAGTTGATTTTTTTGCATATGGTGAGAGATAGGGGTCTAGTTTCATTCTTCTGCATATGGATATCCAGTTTTCCCAACAACATTTTTAAAAGAGGGTTTCCTTTCCCAAATGTATGTGCATGGTACATTTGTTGAAAATCAACTGGCTATACATTAATTTATTTCTGGGTTCTCTATTTTGTTACCTTGGTCTGTGCGTGGTTTTATAGAAATACACGCTGTTTTGGTTATTACAGCCTTGCAATATATTTTACAGTCAGGCAGTGTGATGCTTCTAGCTTTGTTCTTTTGGCTTAGGATTGCTTTGACCATTTAGACTTTTTGTTCCATACACATTTTAGGATTGCTTTTTCTGTCTTTTTTGTTTTAGTAGCACATATCCTCCAGTGGTTTCCTAAGAAAAGTTATGTGGCGGTAAGAGGTACATTTTTTATCCTTGTATCTAAAAATATCTTTATTTATCCCTCATATTTGGCTGATAATATAGCTTAGTATAAGAGTTCTAGATTGAAAATGTATTTTCTCTCAGAATTTGAAAGCCTTGCTTCATTGTCTTCTAGCCACCAATGTTACTATTGACAAATATGCTATTCCTATCACCTGCTCTTTCATAAGTAACCTGTTGCTTTTTCCCTGCCCCCTCCTCACCTCCTACCACCAAGATTTTTTATTTTCTCTTTATCTCCTGTGTTAAAAAATTTCATGATGATGTACCATGTTTTTGCTTTGTTTTCTTTCATTATGCTGGACACTCAGCAGGTTCTGTCACTCTTGAAACTCATAGTTTCTTTGATAATTTCCTTCCCTCTATTTCTTCTGTATTTCTAGAACTCCTGTTAATCTAATGATTGACCTTATGAATTCATCCTCTAATTATCTTTTCTCTGTTATTTTTCCATTTGTATTTCTCTTCTACTTTCTGGGAGATTTCTTGAACTTTATATATTAAGCCTTCTATAAATTACAGCTAGTGCTCGACTAACGACCACGATTGGTTCCGACAGACCAGTCATAACACGATTTGGTCATAAGTTGAGTAGGCTATATGTACAGTACTGTGAAATGATGTTATAAAAATCTTTAAGTCATATTTTATCATAATTTTCTTTTATTGTTATATATCATAATTTTTTGTTCATTTTATGCCATTTGTATCATCTCTACACCATTTTGTTTCTTATTTTTACATTTGTCAGGTTTAAGTAAAACACTGCATTACCAGTACAACTGGTTTAATATTTGCAAAACATACAAAATAACAAAATACAGGTGTAAAAAATACCATAGGAAACATTTTCCCAATTGCAAAACATATCAAAATATAGAAACAAGTATGAAACATTTTATTGGCCCGCTGGTGCTTGGCTGCGGATCGTTGATGTTGTCGTCTGAGGCAGCAGTTGGGGTTACCAGAGTTAGTTTTTTCATAAACACGGTGAGCTGTGTCTGAATTGTATGTTTCTTTTTTTCTTCATAAATTTCATGATGCGGACGAAACACATCGTGCGCCATCCGTTCAATCCTTGCAAATCGTTCGATGTTTGGGTCCACTGCTTCGAAATGTATAAGAAGTTTATTGGGAAGGGTTTGATGAAAAAATATCCAAGACACAAAACACAAATTGCTGTACCGAGTCTGGGATAACAGTTGAAATAGTGCACGCGGAGATGGTAGTGCTGCCAGAAGCTGGTCCACACTGTCGTACGCCCAGCTGGGCAACGTTTGCGCTGCCAGATGCGGAGCAGTCGTGGCTAGCGATTGTGGTCATAAAGTCGAATTGTCGTAAGTTGCATAGGTCGTAAGTCGATCAATACCTGTATTTTTCTATTATTATTAAGAGCAGGTCTTGCTCTATTGCCCAGGCTAGAGTCCGATGGCATCATCATAGCTCACTGCAGGCTCCATCTCCTGGGCTTGAGCAACTCTCCTGCCTCAGCTTTCTGAGTAGCTGGGACCACAGGCATGAGTCACCACACCTGGCTCATTTTTCTTTCAAAAAATATTTTTAGTAGAGAAGAGGTCTAGCTATATTGCCCAGGTTGGTCTTGAACTCCTGGCTTTAAGTAATCCTTCTGCCTTGGCCTCTCAAAGTGCTGGGATTACAGGCATCAGACACCATGTTGGGCCAATTTTTCTATTATAGTTTTAATTTCCCAGAGCTGTTACTTAATCTGTTTCTTTTTTCTTCCTTTCTTTTTTTCTTTTTTTTGAGATGGGAGTTTCACTCTTGTTGCCCAGAATGGAGTGTAATGGCATGATATTGGCTCCCTGCAACCTCTGCCTCCTGGGTTCAAGCAATTCTCCTGCCTCAGCCTCCCAAGCAGCTGGAATTACAGGCATGCACCACCACACCCAGGTAATCTTTGTATTTTTAGTAGAAATGGGGTTTCTCCAGGTTGGTCAAGCTGGTCTTGAACTCTTGACCTCAGGTGATCTGCCCGCCTCAGCCTCCCAAAATGCTGGAATTATAGGTATGAGCCACTGCACCCAGCCTTATTCTATTTCTTTTTGGAGCATTTTATCTTTGCTTTATGGATGCAGTATTTTCTACTATCTCTCATAGACTGCTTATTGTTTTTTTAAAAATATTCTTCTGTTCTCTTCAGTTTCTGTTCCCTTTGAATTTCTTTTCTCTTTTCTATTTCTATTTGATGCTGTCTTTTTTGATGAAGGTTCATATTAAATAACTGGTGACCCTTTGTTGTCCCTTCATATTTTTTTTTTTTTTCTTTTGGGACGGAGTTTCGCTCGTTACCCAGGCTGGAGTACAATGGCATGATCTCGGCTCACCGCAACCTCCGCCTCCTGGGTTCAGGCAATTCTCCTGCCTCAGCCTCCTGAGTGGCTGGGATTACAGGCACGCGCCACCATGCCCAGCTAATTTTTTTGTATTTTTAGTAGAGACAGGGTTTCACCGTGTTGACCAGGATGGTCTTGATCTCTTGACCTCGTGATCCACCCGCCTCGGCCTCCCAAAGTGCTGGGATTACAGGCTTGAGCCACTGCGCCCAGCCTTGTCCCTTCATATTTAAGAGTGAGTCACTAACTATTTGGAAGCTCTGTGTTAATAGGAAGTTTATCAAGTTGTGGGTTTCACTGTAGGATGATAAAGTGGGTACCTAGGTGTTTTGTTGGGAGACCTCAAATATCAGTATGTATAGATCTTTCCTCTGGAGTTAATTAATTAACATTAATTCTCTGATATCTTGCCTGGAGAATATAAGCCTTGCTGTCAGCATTTTTGGAGCAAAATTCAGCAGGAGGACTGAGTGCGTCTCACCATTCAGCATGTAGACAGTTCAACTAATCTCTGTTTTCAGTCTGATATCCTCCTACCTTAGCCTCCCTGCTATTATCTTTAGCTGTGCCTGGTATCTCAGTGTCTGGAGCTTCTCTACTTCAATTTTGTCCCAGAGGGTGCCAGGGAGATGAAAGAGTACTTGTCTAAGTGAGAAGGAGGGAGAAAAGGACATGGCAGTTTACCTTCCTATAAAGGCTTTTAGCAAAACCCTCTCTTTTCTGCCTCTCACATCACCTCTGCTTCTATAGCATCTGCTCTGTCCTAGTCCTGACATTCTAGTATTCTGCAATATGAATCTGTTTGTCTCATCAGTATATCCCTCAGCAAACATTTAGAATTGTTTTCTCAGCTCAACCATGGCTTTCTAGCTTCCAAAAATGTGTTGATATCCTGAATTTACTATTGTCTTTTTTTATTCTTTGTCTGTAGGCTGGTAACCCTAAAAATATTAACTCACTGTTACTATAGTGATTTGGGGGAGTGAACAGGGATAAACATATGTGTTTAATCTGTCCTAGCATAAACAGAAGTGCAAGATGACTGTCAAGATGCCCACTCTTTGCTCCTATTAAAAAAAAGTAAGATCCAGCCAGGCACGGTGGCTCATGCCTGTAATCCCAGCACGTTGGGAAGCTGAGACAGGCGGATCACCTGAGGTCGGGAGTTTGAGACCAGCCTGATCAACATGGGAAAACCTCATCTCTACTAGAAATACAAAATTAGCCAGGCCTAATTTTATAGGCGCATCCATATAATCCCAGCTACTCA